TACGCCACTCACCCCCTCTCTTTCTCTCTCTATCTCTCTTTCTCCTAGCACCATCCCTCCCTCCTTCTCTTCACCTCTCTCTCCTTCGCTCTTTCAGCAGCATCTCTTCCCTGGTGAGGTGGGATTGCGCCACTGAACCAGCATCTGTTGCAACGCACATGCACACGCCTGCACGCACACGCCTGCACACACACAGACACAGACACAGACACACACACACACACACACACACACACACACACACAAACGGTGTCGACATTTAAACCCCTACTGTAGTGGGCAGCATGTCGCTGTGTTGAGAACATCATGATGACATATTTTGGACATTAAAACTATAAAGCAGCATGTTGCCATATCACAGTCTTAACACCTAGAGCTTTGTGGTGAAATACTCTCACCTTATGCTCCTCTTTTTTCCCTCTCATTCCCTCTTCCTGTTTTTCTCTTTCCTCATCCTCATAAAGCATCCCTTCCTTTTCGCCTTCCCAATTCTTCCCCTCCTCACCAAGTCTTTCTCCCATCTCGCCACTGATCTATGGATTTCCTTCTCTCCTTTTCTCCTCTCCCCGCTTCACCCGAACACAGAATTTGTTCTTAATTGACCCACCTTGTTGAGTAGAGTTCAGTTACCCCCCCCAACAGCCTCCTACGTTCCACTTTTTCTTTCCTCTTACTACCTCCAGCCTTTCTCCTTTCTATCTTCCCTTCCTTTCATGTGTCTCTGCTGCAGCCGGTCCTTCCTTGCATGTCTTTCATCACCCTTTTTCCTCTTGCAGCTGTTACATTGGGCCCTTACTGCAGCCACACCATCCCACCTCTTTTTAAAATAAATAAATATATATGTTTAAATATCCATTTGCTAATACATTCAGTCTATATACTCAGTTAGAAACACCACTGTGTGAGTCTCACTTGTACCTGCAGACCTATACATCACTTCTGCACAGAGATGAAACTGTATTTTCCTTTTCTCTAAAACTCATTGAGTTTCTCTGTGTGAGATCCATTTCTGTTCTGCTCTGTCTCTCTCGCCCATACAGACACATCAATCAATTAGACTTACACTCCTCCAGAATTTACACTTCTCCTCGGCTTCATTATTCAATCTGACGTTGACGGATTGAAAGGTATTTTACATGGCCCCAAAAATAGAAAGCTTTATTGTTCAAAGTTGGTTCAAAAAGTGAGGAGACATTAGGAGGAATCATGGCTATTGATGAGTCAGAAACACATCAATAGCACAGACCTATGCCACTCAGGGTATATAATTGTTTAATACATTATGTGACTTTATTAATAGAGACAGCCCTGGGTTATGTTACTGTAATGAGGGACCAAAGTGAAACTGGACTCATTTTATTCCATGCTTCTAAATAATCTAAATCCCTTAGAATCAACCCATAATTGACTCGATGCAGTTCAATAACCTGTAAACTTGACAGAGCACCATCCATCATCAGCTCTTGCAGAAGTGTTAAGGGACTCCTAAATCGTCACATGCCATCCCACATCAATTTCCCACCTCTGTTGCACTCAATTAGGAGGAAGAAAGGAACCCATCTGCTAATTTGATTTACAGCCAGGGTGATAGGACAGCAATATAAATACATATGACTGCAGTGTTCAAAATAATCAGACAATTTGACAGCAGTTATTTTTTTTTACACTCTCTGGCCCCAGTCATCCCGCTGGTATGTCTTCTGAAACCTTCAGCCTAAACCCCAGTAAGCCGGAGGGATCAAGAAGCGCCACTTTCACGCCCTGTTTTCCTACTGGAAATCAGGGTCAAATGAGTCTCTGGCCTTCCACTCTGCAGGAAATTCGTGCCATTCCTCGTTCACCTTCAAACTGGTCGTACAGTATATGTAAGTCAGTCCAGTGTGTCCTTACTTGATCCTTTCTGACATTTGATGTTTAAAGGTATAGTTCTACATTTTGGGAAATATGCTTGGCTTTCTTGCAGAGTGTCACAAATGAAAGCTACCACTCTCACATCAGTAAAAAAAAACAGTAGCTGGGGCCAGCAGCCATTTAGCTTAGCTTAGCATAAATGCTGGAAACAAGGGGAAACAGCAAAAATTAAAATATAAAAACAACATATTGGGGTTTTGCAGGGGATTATGTGCTGAAATGTTTTGCCTGGGCGCAGTCCTGTCATCACTGTAAGGTTGGCAGGCAACCAGCAGAGACTCCAGGGAGCTACTGCACCCAGCCACACACAGCCACAAGGCGTTGTTTTTTTAATTTTAGACAAACTACAAGTTTTTAAAATTACTGAGAGTTGCTGGTATGTGGGTTCTCTCAACTTTGGACAGCTTTTTCCATTCTTTAAGCTAACCCGCCGTTGGCACTAGCTTCATATTCATCGTACAGACATAAAAAAAAGTGTGCTTGCCCACTACTATGAGACTGATATGCTTATCAAGTTGTAGCACTATTCTAATGCAATGTAGTAATGACCAATATGATTGTTATATGAATTTTATTACATTAACTAAAATTTTTTTATTAAATAAGCTTAAGCTTGTAATTTATTTGTCTGTTTTAGGCATTACTAGGTTTTAATATACTGAGTTAGCAAATGAGGGTGTTTACATGCAATCAAATATTTTGACTCACTTATGAGTAACAAAAAAAATGTTTTCCCATCATGATCACAAATAGCTATTCTCACATGAATAAATATAATACTCAGAGTAGTGCCATGGATTCTGTGACTTCACATATGCAAATTGGGCTTTCATGATCATTAAACAGTTTATGTCAAATTGTATGTCTCACCTTACTGCAGCGCAACCTCATAAAATTTCAGAGCCATTGCTTTTGCAAACATTATAGTTTATTGTATTGTGCCTGCACATATATATCCAATTATTTTTAGTCGCTTCATGCGAATGTCTTACACCATGAGAAACCTTACATGAAATAGCTTGACCTAACAATGCCCCCTGAGGAACTTTATCCGATTCTTCTGTTTTAACTCAGTTACCATGGCAGTGTGAGAATATTCTGTTTATTCATGTATAGTGATATTCATGAGTGGGATATGAAGATGCATGAGCGGGTGCATCTCAAATAAGTGCTTGACCAGAATATGAGCCATAACTCATGCTCATGTTGGCATGCTCACAGAGATGTCAGCATCCAGGATGATTTAGAGAATCAAGCCCTGGCTCATTACAGCACACTCTAGCACTACATCAGCTACTAAGTAGACAAGCATGATTTAAATATATTTTCATGTTGGTTTTGTGAAAAAGTCTGCTTGCAATCTTCTTTGGGCATATGTCCCGTGTCTGAAGCTCTAAGCTCAATCTAAGTATTTGAGTTTCACTAGTTTCAAATGTCATGGTGCAAATGGGGTCATGATCAAAGACAAATGCTGACAGCAAGTGCTCGTTTCCATACTTCCAGCATTTCCCCATCATGGCACGTTAAGATGTTGATTAACTCTACACTGTGTTTCGTGCATTAAGATTGTGATCTGATATGCATTAAAAGCTCACTACAAATTGAATATAATTTAAGACTCTACCTAGACAGTTTCAAGCCACATTCAAACATTAGGCGTCAATACAAGCGGGAAAGAACGACATAATGTTGGCAAGAACGAAGTATCCAAACGAAGCTTCAGTTAAGCCACAGGTATACACATTCAGAGACCAGAAGCGGGAAAACCAGAAAACGACTTCCTCCAAACCTCATTTAATCTCGCATGTGTGTTTACATGTGTTTTAAGGTGGCTTAGAGACACTGCAAAACCCCATCAAAATGCAAATGGGGCAGTTAGGGAAGAGAAAATTTACCAGGTAAAGAGAGCTTTTGAACTGACACCACTAACTAAATTGTTCTCTGTGTGTAGCTTTGTGTGGTTCCCCTCTCTCTCTTTCTCTCTCTCTCTCTCTCTCTCTTTCTGTCTCCATGGTGCAGCAACGACCATTACACAGCAATCCATTGGATAATACCATACAGTATCTACAGCATAGCACTACACTTGGCCTGCAGCATGCTATTGTTAGAGCTTTCTGAAGGGATCATTGCAATGCCAGTCGCAACACCTGCTCGCCCTACCTTTTCTCACTCTTCTCAGAATATCTTCTTGCCCCCCCCCCCCCAACTGCTGCCAAATCTATTTCATTCCATTATCTTCTCCTGACTCTTCTATTTTCTCTACTCACCTTTCCAGAAGTCTTCCCTGTCACCTGCCATTATGTCCTCTCCTCTCCCCTTCCCCCCAAACACCGCCCTGCTATCACCGGGACCATCTCCTCTCCTCGCTGCTCCTTCTTTGTATTCCATCTCAGCATTCCCCTCCTCTGCCCTCTTCCCCTAACAACTCCTTTTAAGTCCCTCCTGCCTCACTTATCCCCCTGTCTGAGCTTCCCCAGTCCTGCTCTCCTCACCCGGTCAGCTCTCCCTAATTTAATGAATTGCATTCTTCTCCTCCTCTCTTCAGTTTTCCTTTAATATCCATCCACCCATCCCTCATCGCCCCATCTCTTCTAAACTCTCAGGACTCCTCTTTGCCCCTTCTCCTTCCATGCTCTTTATCCAGCTGCTATTTTATCCCATCTCTGCTCATATCTCACCCTGTCTCATCTCCTCACCTTATTCAGACCTGTTTCTTTACACTTCTCTTCCCCTCCCAGCATATCTCTCCCCCTCTCCTCTGCTTTCCTCTCCTGTTCTCTCCCCTCCCCTCCTGTCTTTAATCCAGAGAAAGGATATCACCATCTCTAAATCGTATGGGAGAGAAAACACCAGCGCCATTATCTCCCCATCTGCCTTCTCTTCTCTCTCTCTCTCTCTCTCTCTCTCTCTCTCTCTCTTTCTCTCTCTGTACTCAACTCGGTTCTTCTAAAATTTCAAATCAACCTCCCAAAAACATTGCGGCAGAAATAGGCGAGAAGACACAGAAAGCAAGGGTTGATGGAGGGAGGAGAGGGGTAGGGATGCGATAATCGGACAGATGAGAAAAGTAGATAGAGAGACTCTCATACCTGTGCGTCTCCCTCTCCTCCTCTCCGGTTAGATGGAGGCTATGTCTCCTCCGGTTGTCTTCCCCCCACCCCCACCCCCCTTGCCAAGCCAGGTGAAGAACTCCACTCAGCGAAGAATATGTTAAATAATCCTCCGCCTGGTCAGACAAATTTGTCAAACCAAAGAAGAAATAATATCCACTTTTCTTCTTTTTTGTTGTTGTTTGGTCTTGTGGCCGCGCTGCGGGGCTCCTGGAGTGCTGGTGTGGCAATCGGGGCGTTTTTTAATTTAGTTCCCGTTGAGTTTGCATCGAGAGCCCGGTGCGGGTACGCGACCGGTGGCAGCCTATAACCTACAGCGATCCAGTGTCCGCCGCTGATCCACTGGGACAGAAGTGTGAGCGTGGAAAAAACGCCGTCAAACCGGCGCACCGCCGCGTTGCGCACTCATTTGGTCTCCACATGAGCTCCCCGCGTTTCCGTTTAGACTCCGTTCATCGGTCATTTAGAGGAAAATACCCAGCCGTCGGGGGGTTAATGTCGCTCGAATCCACTGTCTAGTTAAAGAGTGGAGGAAAAGCAACGCACAGGGCGAGAGTGGAAACGTCTCTGTACTCGGTGAAACCGGGCACGGTCGTCGGTTACCCAGCCGGTATCCACCTATAAGCTCCCCTATAGGTGCTCTTTGCTCCCCCGTTCAGCAGCTGTCATTCCTGCACCAACATCACATTTCACTCACTCACAGCTAATGTTTTTTTTTTTTTTTGCATGTGATCTGCACTTGGTTATAGAATAATAATCCTCTCTGGTTGTTGGTCGGCAGATGATTATCCGCTTCAAGGTAAAGAACTGAGTACAAGAGGGTGGAAAAGAAACTGAAGAAACTGCAGGATCAGAGGAGCTTGGTAAATGGTCGTCCTCCCTCCCTTTTCAGCCACAGAAGTGACTTTGTCTTGACCTCTCTTCTCTCCAACAGTGAGTGCGGCTCGGTGGATGGCAGCCTATAGACTGAGGCGTTATAGCTCAGAAGAAAAAGGCAAGCTTCAGACAGATAAATGGATGATAAATGTCCTTCCCTCTGTCTATCGTTAGAAAAGCGCTCTGATCCGACACGGCGAGCGTCTCCGTCCGCTCCTGCAGTTACTTTCACACTGTGCGGCGGTTTGTCCCGGGAGGCGATACGCCTACCAGCTCCTCTCCTGTCTGCCTCCTTCCCTCCGTATCCGTGTCCTGCTCCGTCAATTGACAAGCTGCCGGGATTACAAGCTGGTAATAACGGGTGGATGCGTTATGACGACTGTGCGTGATGGCATGCAGGGCGTTTGCCTGGGAGAAGTAGCTGCTGGAGTTTGGGGTCTGTCAGCAGACACAACACACACCGACACGGCCAGATGTTCTTAAAGTGAGGGATGGGGACCGAAAGAGGGCCGTGTATATGAAAGTGGGTCCTACGGGTAAAAATACACCAGTTCCATTTTATGATTTTATTATTGTTTATTATAATTATTACATGTTCCTTTCCATATCTTAATTGAGATGGATCACAATAATGGATCACAATAATAATAATAATAATAATAATAATAATAATAATAATAATAATAATATAATATGATCACAATGTCCCAGACACACACGTTGTATATTGTTTTCTTTCATTTGAAAAATATTCAGGTTAAGCTGTGAGTCAGGGGGAAAGGTGCTGATACAGGAGGTGGATTTTGGGCACAGCCAGGCTGGCTGTTTCCCCCATTCTCTTTTTGTCTTTATGCTAAGTTAAGCCAACTGCTGGCGGTAGACTGATATTTAACAGAGAGATATAAGAGTCGTATCAATCTTCTCATCTAACTATCAGCAAAACAGCCAATAAGTGTATTTCCCAAAATGTCAAACTATTCCTGTAAGGATAGACAATGATACTGAGAAGGGTTTAAATAATTTCATTTGTGCTATTTTCACTTTATTACTGACTGTCAGCATGTCACCAATTTGCTACCATATTACCTGTTTTGACATTCCTCCCTGAAAACAAAAATAAAATCCATATTTATACTTAAAATAACCACTAGGGGTGGAGATGAGCAGTTGGGTTCCCCCAGCTGACAGCTAAAATTGATAGTCAACAACATGAAATGAGACATTTGACATGGATCTTTCAGTGTAGGGGTCAATGATGCACTCCCTCCAACGAACAACCAAAGCATCTGATGGCGAGGTTACTAGTAGCTGCAGTGATGGATGCCAAAATGAGAAATGGGTGAAACAGCAGTCACATAAAGCAGATTAGTGCGCTCACTTTACAGATTCTGCAGGATTTCATGGATTATTAAGTGTGAGTGTTTTTCAATTATCTGATTAGCAAGAGATGGGATACATTTGATGACGCATAGCTGGCAGAACACAAAATAGTCCAGGGTTGTTGTTGTTGGTGGTGGTGGTGGTTGTCAGGCTGGGAGTGCAGGGGATAATAAAGAGATAAAGAGAATAATGGGAAGGTGGACAAACAGATTAAGAGAATGGACAGAGATGAGACAGGGTCAGGAAAATGAAAACTCTGACATTTTGCTTCATGCTCTATAACACCAATCAAAAGAGAACCACCTCTGGGCTATATAGGTCAAAGGTCATTCTTATAAAAAGTAAAGATGTGTGTGTGAGTGTGTGTGTGTGTGTGTGTGTGTGTGTGTGTGTGTGTGTGTGTGTGTGTGTGAGAGAGAGAGAGAGAGAGAGAGAGAGAGAGAGAGAGAGAGAGAGAGAGAGAGAGAAAATGCTGTGGAGGTTTTGCAAGTTTATTTTGGGGAACATGTATGAAAAGTCACTTTCGATGGAATTTGAAGGCGTAATGTGGTGAGTTTTTAATATGCCCGCAGCAGCATTTCTTTAACTCTTGGTCATAAGAAGAAAATGGGTCAGAGCCTTGTTTCTGATGGTTTCTATCCACAGTAGCAATGTTTTAATTAGTCTTGGTGTCCCCAGGGAGAAACAACATTTACTCATTTTGGGATCCTCAAATGAAAAATAATCACTGACCTAAAGGATTCCTTTGAGTTGTGTTTTTCAGAGCTGTGTAAATATTGGTGTATACCCTGATGAACCAAACAACTTTTTAAACATACCAATAAAGTCATGGCATTGAGTCCATGAGACGGAGCAGTGTAGATTGTAACATTCTGCAAATATTTACTGCTCTAGAAAGGCCTTAAAGACTCTCCATGCAGGGCTTAATTTACTCAGTCTTCTCTAATAACAATTCAACATAACAGTTTTTTAAATTCCACAATCATTTAGGAAACAGAACCTTTACTTCACACCACTGTATAGGGTCCTGCAATACCAAAGAAGAAGTTTCATCAGCCAGCAGGTCCTGGAGCTTCATACAGTCAAGCCAACCCTTTTACAGCATCTGTCTAAAAAAGAAAAGGACAAGTCTGGAGAGAATAACACAATCCTGACGCAAACTGGAAACACATACATCCCCACACTAGGCCTACATGATGGCACTACCAGAGCAGTGTGACTAATAAACCCTGAAAGAAAATGTGAAAAAAATACAGTGAACACATTAACTGGATGACAGACTTTAATCACACTGTGCACCTCCCTTAATTAAAGTCAATACGTACTTTTCTTCTTTAAAAACCTTGAAAATACAGTACAGTGGTTAAAAAGCGTGCGTAGCAGCTGATGAATTAATTAGCTGATTAAGCAATCAGTCAGTCGACAGAAAATGAATCACCAACACTTTTAATAATCGAGGACTGTAGAGAATTTTATCAAGAAAACATTTGAAACTTTTTTGTTTCCATGTGAGTTTATATGTGTTGTTTAAAAGTGAGGGTTGTCTTGTTTGCTCTGTTTTTTATATCATTGTAAATTAAACATCTTTGGGTATTGGACTGTTGGTTGAACAAAGCAAGCAATTTGTGAGTTAGTTTTTCCTAACTTAATAATGTCTAGACAGAGGAGATCACAAGAGGCCACAAGGGATCCTTGTGATGTGAACTGGTGAAATTTGGCTACTGTTATTTCAATTACTACTGTGCCTTAACATCGCTGTGGCAACAGGCTGTGTTTCACGACAGTAAAGCGTCTGCAAGGTTGAGAGGGAGAGATAGCGTAGACAATGAGAAGGCACAAGAGATAAAGAAGGAGAGAAGCAGAGAAAATGTTAGAGAGTGAGATAAAGAGAGAAGGAAGACCCTTGAGCCGATTCAGCACCATGGACAGTGCTGCAGCGGGATCCAGCAGCACAAGGCCGGAACAAGCTTTATCCTCAGAGAGAAAAGCTAAAAGCTCTTCTCAACATGCTCTGATCTCTCTCACAAACACACACACACACACACACACACACACACACACACACACTTATGTCACATTCATGTATTTCCTCCTCTCTCTCCTACACACACACACACACACACACACACACACACACACACACACACACACACACATACACACGTGCACTTACCATTGCCTTTCTTATAACCGTCTCTTCCCTCCCCAACCTTCCACAGCTTGTTTCTTATCATTTCTCAGCTCTGGTGTTCTCTTTGTGGATCAACATCAGAAAATAGTTGACAATAAATCAAGCACGAATGTGTGTGTGTCACTCATTTATATTTTCTCCCCAAGTCACCAAATTTGGAGTGGAGGCATGAGTACAGAAGCAGTTCAAAAGGAGACTGTGCCCTAAACTGGTTAAGTGATTTATTAACAGGACAAGTGTGATTGTAATGGACACAATTAATTAACCAAAACTAAGAAAACTCTTCCATGTTTGCCACAATGCCTGTTATAGCTGCAAATCCACCAGGTGAAATTATTTTTAATTGGTTTGTCAGATAATTTAAGTAGCGTTTTGCACTATACATACAGAACATTGGGTTGTGTTTACTCATTTTGCAGACTTTTTTCTCATGTGTTGTCAAATTAGTGAAGATGTTTCTTTTCTGTGTTTTGTCTACTTGCATCCCGTCCCGATATTGTAAAATAACTAACAGGAACACTTTAGGTAATGATTTGACTGAACTTTTTTGCATGTCACTTTCTAATTATAATATTGTTGTACAGACTGCATTAGGCTTTAATCCTCGTGCCTGTGTCTATGTCTGCTAGGCCATGCACTTTTTCAAGTGACAATCAGATGTCAACACCCTGTCCACTTCCTACAGCTTCTCTGCCCTTGTCAGCTCAACATTGGCCAACCAGTCAATGAACCAATCAATCAATCAGCTGACCATGAGATCAGTACCTCAGGCTGACAGATAATCCTTCACTCAATAAAGTAATTGATTGCCATTGATTAGTTAATGCTGCAGGTATAAGTGTTTGATTAAGAAGCCTACAAGCCTGTTTCACAGAGAGGATTTGAGGTGAGTACTGGAAAAGAAGCCTGTTCATCGACTTTGCTGGTGAAGTACACACTTATCTTTATTATATTCTATGGAGATATATTAAGCCTGTTCATGTCGCAACACACTCCCATTTATATATGCATACGGAGTTGAAGCAGAAGTTAGTCATGTTAATAAAGACAAATAAACCAGTAAGTGTAGAACAGAAGAAAAGAAGAAACTGCATCTCTTAGAACAAAAGGTCAACATCTAAATTCTTAGTGGCCATAAAGCTGTTTATTTTAGTACATTTTAGATAGACCAATAAATATGTCAACCTTGACAACACTCAGGCTAGTCTGGGGGATACTTAAAATGAAAAAATAAAAAACAGTTTTTCTCTTTATTTCTTGGTAGAATCAAATTTTAACACAAAGATTAAAACAAATCATTTCACTTCAGTCTGATTTAAAGAATGTTTCTCCGGCCCCTTCAATTCTGAAGCTGTGCTGATGGATGGTATAGTCTGATTGTTTTCTAACCAGTTCCTCAGTTGCTCTCCCCTATCTTGGCCAATAGAATTGTCTGCAACATATCAGTGAAATAGAGAACAAAAGCAGTCAACCAGTGACTGAGAGACAACATCCATCAGCTTCCATGTTTGAAGCACTGCACTCTCTCCAACAGTGTCACAGTACTACATTTAGGTCAGACCCAATTGGAAGAAAGCTCTGGCCAAAAGAGAACACCACACCTCCAATTTGTGAATTAAGGAATGATCTTTGGTCTCACGTGGTTTCATGGGGGTTTGAGCTTCATGGGCTCAGTCATCTAGGAGAGAATGACCTGGAAAGAGAGCCAAATCCATCTGAATGGGTATAGGGCCTTGGTGTTTTGTTTAATTTATGTAAATATATGGACAGTGCTAGACAGTAACAGCAATATTCCTACTTTGTAATCCCAGTATCACTTTGTCTCACCAGGAATTTATTGTTTTTTGTCTCTGTGCATTCAGTAACTCCAAAATGTTGTGTCTCCTACGCTGACTAGCCAAGCCCTGGTAAGCCTACATTCAGGTATTAGCTGAATTATGAATTAGCTGAATCAGGTTTTGTTGAGAATTGGAGGTGTGTCACCCACGCTGATTCGCTGTTAGAAC